TACTTTCATTTTCAATACTATTAACATTACAGGGGCCTATCCTTCTGCTTGGAAACGAGCTCTAGTGATACCTCTGGCAAAATGCAACAAACCAACTCTCAGATCTCAGGCCAATAAGCATCCTTCCTACATTATCTGAAGTTTTCGAAATGATTCTGAAAGATCAAATGAATGTCTTTATAGAACAACATAAGATCATTACGTCAGTCCAATCAGGATTCAGATCACAACACAGTACTACGACAGTCCTCCTTTCGATTACAGATGACATTTTTTGTGATAGATATCAAAAGAATGGTCTGTCTGGTGCTGTTGGATTTCAGTTAGGCTTTCGACACCCTAGACCATGATATCCTTCGCAGGAAATTGACGTCCTTTGGATTCACACATAATGCGGTATCTCTTGTTTGTAATTATTTATCCGGTCGAACACAAAAGGTGATTCAAGACGGAGAGATGTCTGAGGAATTGCCAGTATCCTTTGGAGTACCACAAGGATCAATTTTGGGTCCGTTACTTTTTTCCTTATACATATCTGATTTCCATAACTCCATTAGTAATTGTACAATTCATCACTATGCAGATGATACCCAGATTTACTTTTCATTCTTACCTTCTGACTTGCATCAATCACAAATCTCAATTAATGATGAATCGAGACCTTTGTTTGACTTTTCGTATGCACATAATTTGAAGCTCAATTCTAAAGAATCTATGGTGATTTTATTTGGCCCTCAGAAAGTCAGAGAGTCCGCAACTGAGCTGCTGCAAATCAGCATTGACAATGATGTTCTTTCCATTGTGAAAGAAAACAAGAATCTAGGACTTTGGTTGGACTCCGATTCGAGATTCAAATATTATACTAGTTTTTTATGCCAATCTTCATACAATATATTGGGGCAACTATATCCTAATAGAGTTATTCTCTCTTCTAAGCTGAAACTCAAACTTTGCGAGTCTTTGATATTCTCAAAATTATCATATTGCGATAGTATACAAGGTGTAAATTTGAAAACTTCCAATGCGAATATCTCGCGAAAGAAAGAAGTTAGAAAAACGCCGTTTGGTAAAAATGCTAAAGAGTTGAGGGGAACTAGAACCACCATATTTCGGTCAAGGGATGAGTCACCCCGTCGGCGCGACACAGCCCAACTTTGAAATGTCAAATGGCACTACCTTTTTTGTGATGCCTCAAATGAACAGTCTCAGTCAGTAGTATTCACCTGTACAAGACTTTTTTTCCACCCACTACAGGGTGTACGAAAAATATAAAGTCGAATAAAATAAAATGAATTGTGTTGAAAGGATATTTTATTTGATCAGATGTTCAAAATGCATTCCATTCTGTTGTAAGCAATAGTATAATCGATGTTCAAATGCCATTCTAACATTTTGGAACACATCTCTTGGAATATATCGGCATTCTGCATTTTATATTTTATTCGACTTTATGTTTTCCGTTCACCCTGTAGTGGGTGGAAAATAAGTCTTGTACAGGTGAATACTACTGACTGAGACCGTTCATTTGAGGTATCACAAAAGAGGTAGTGTCATTTGACATTTCAAAGATGGAGTGTGTTGCGCCGACGGGGTGACTCACCCCTTTACTGAAGTATTGTGGTTCTAGTTCCCCCTAAAACTCTGTAGCATTTGTGCCAAACAACGTTTTCCTAACTGTTTTATTTAGCGAGATTTTCGCATTGAAAGTTTTCAAATTTAGACCCTCGAATTAATGTTTTTCGTACACCCTGTAGTGGGTGGAAAAAAAGTCTTGTACAGGTGAATACTACTGACTGAGACCGTTCATTTGAGGTATCACAAAAGAGGTAGTGCCATTAGACATTTCAAAGTAGGGGTGTGTTGCGCTGACGGGGTGACTCATCCCTTCACTGAAATATGGTGGTTCTAGTTCCCCTTAACTCTTTAACATTTTTGCCAAGCGGCGTTTCTCTAACTTTTTTATTTCGCGAGATATTCGCATTGAAAGTTCTCGAATTTACACCCTGTATATGGTCCAGCATTATTACAAACTGATTCTTATCAATTACAACGGATTTAAAATAATAAATATCTCTGCTAAGATGAAATCCTCTGGTTGGTTACGACTAGAACAATTGAGACATTCACATCTCCTGATGCAAGTGCATAAAGTCTTGAAAACTGGAAAACCAGATTATCTATCGAAACGACTGAAAACCTTTTCATTCATTGACCAAATATCAAGCCGTAACAAATCTACCCTGGTTATTTCAAGACATAACACTTCAACATTCAAACGTAGTTTTTCGTACAATGCAAGCAAATTTTATAATGAGCTAGAGAGTTTAGATCTGACACTCTGAGTAACTTCAAGAAGAGATTGAAGAATTATATTTCGTCCAGGTAGGTCCATAATTGATTTTACAATTCTGCTATCTCAACTGGATTTCCATTTATATAAATATTTAGTCTATTGCCTAATAGATTTTCATTCATTGTTATCATTATTAACATTGTCATATCTATTTTTATTTTTATAATTATTATTAACATTATCATTGTTATGCCATAATTTTTTTTATTTTTATCATTTTCTGGTTGCGTGTTGCGTTGGGACTTTTCGGGTATCATTTGTTCTGCATGTCTTTGTGTTCGATTGGTCTCTGAATCTTCTTATAAATATAATCATAATTATTATTACTGCTGTCAATATTATTATTGTCATTGTTGTTGTTTGTATTATCATCATTATTGTTATTGTTGTCATTATTATTATTGTCGTCATTGTTGTTATCATCATTAGTTACTAATGTGTTATATTCCACGATAACCTCTTCTGTCTTTTTTTGTTTTCCCTTGATCGAGAATGCTACGAATCCTTCTTTGTTTTGTTCACGAAGGTTGAGTTGAAAAACAGCTTTTTGCTGATACTCCGCCTATTCAGCATTTGCAGACAGGATATGGGATCTTTAATGGATTATATATTTCAATTTTTTGTTTGCCTGCATACGATGAATAAAGACGAGTTATTATTATTATTATGTTATTGAGTTTTTCTAAATTCTCACAATTCATTCTTGATTTTTTTTTGCCATTGACCCAGAAAAACAGAAGTTTTTTCATCACCCTCAAACCTACAAGATGCATATGATTCAGAGGAACCTGAGACACAAGTCCAATTTCGAGTGTTTCAAATGGATTCGTGCCCAAATGATAAGATACATACATTCTATGTTATTCTTGAAGCTATTGTCTGTTCTCCTAGTAGAGTTTTTTTCCAGAAAAGTCGCCCTTGAATTGATAAACTTCCCCTCTTCAAAGCACTTAGTGCAATAAATATATTCAGTGTGTTCCTTTACACACAAAACATATGATTTTGCAGGAGCATCATATATTATTTTGCTAATTTTTACATAAACCCTGGAACCATCGATTTGAAAACCATCGATTTCAATTGATTTAAGCTCTTCTATACATTTATTCAGAAATGGATGTACATTCTCAGGTTCCTAATGCCCTTGAAATAAACCTACCAAGAAGGGCTCACTAACATTTTTATCATGTGAATCTATTGATAACAGAATAGGCCATAGTTGACTGCTTGAACTTTTGGCAAGTGGCAAACCATCTATAGTCAACATCACATGGATAATACCATTATGTCGAAAACTAGATTTTTTTGGAATCAGACAATATATTAGTGAGCCCATTCTTGATCCCCAACTGAACATAACTTTCATTCTTCATATGAATAATATCACATTGCGTAGGTGTCTAGAGAAAGGTTCTAGAGTCTTTTGGCATATCATAACCCTTATTTTTGCAAATTCCTAATAACTCATTTATTGCTTGTTTAGACAATAAATGTCTGTATTTCAGTATCCACGTTTCAATGGATGAAACAAAATCATCGATCATTGTCCCCTATGAGGAAATTCCCATTTTCTGGTACAAGGGGTATTCTATACTCATCTGGGTAAATTATATTCGAACAATCATTTCCGAGATCATTTCTATCATAAATACCATGAAAAGTATCTTGCACTTGTCCTAGCACATTCCCTACTGGCAGAATGACATTCAAGTCATTAGGACCGATAGTATCATGCCCAGTAGCTACACCAACAGGATTTCCACATATTGTGACAGCCAGCGAGGCGTTCCCTCTATTCATTACATTTTGTATCAATCGGCACTAAATAAGATGTGTCTCCAGTCTGAGTTACAGGGTGTTTCATTTGAAGATTCAAAAATCATTTGTGCCCAGTACTTACTCTCAAACAATCCGACGTGCCTATTATCGTCATATTTGTGGGAAGTGTATCAGTACTATCCACCCTACTGAATTATGTGAAATGAACGTTTCTGGCTTCTAACAAAGGCGTAATACAGGGGCAAGTGACTGGCTGACCCTTCCCAAATTCCACGCCACTGGCGAAATTGCAATTTCATCACAATAGGGTAAATTCGCCAGTAGTCAGCCACTTAAAGAAATATAATATTTCAGGTACTTTTGAAAACTTTTATTTCTCTTGGAAACAGTTCGGATCATATTTTTGTTCAATTACATTCGACGATCTTCCGAATTGGGAAGGCAAATTTCAATCCCGACACTCGTGTATTTTTCAATTATCGTTAATATCAAAAATATACCAATTTTCCTATAGTCAGCCGTGAGAAATCTGATATCAGCCGCAATTATTTCTATAGTCAGCTTATAGGTATTCAATGAGAAAAACAATGAGAAATGTTTATTCGAAATCAACTTGTTGACAAATTGATAATTTGTACAATAATTATTGTTATATAACCAAACTAGAAATATTTACAAAAATATATCACAACATAAAACCTTTAGGGTGAATAAACTTATTGATATTATTAAAATCACATTTATAGGAATAAACGTTCGAGGTGCTCATTTCAATTTCACATAAAACAGAGCATAAAACTCAAAAATGAGCATTATTTTGTACAAGAATGACAAATAAATTCTGCGTATTCTACACCGAAATAGTTACATCCCTGAAACGGGGAGCATTTGAGATGAAACCAATTAGGACATCTATCGCAGCCGATATTTTTCAAGTCATTGTCTTCAGTATCACTATCGATATCTAAACTACAAGTTGCACATTTTTCCTTGATTCTACTTTCTTTATCTTCACTGTCGATCACAGACTCTGGAAAACTATCTTTTATATCCATCACAGATTCAGATACACATGTTTCGTCAGTCTCTATTTTGTTTTCTCTGTTCCTTTTTCTTTGTAGGATTTGAACACTTTTCCTTTTCATCTTCAGTCTTTTTCTTCTCGTCTTTTTTTTTTGCAACATATTTTTAAATTCTGAAGAGAAAATTGCTGCTGGAAGACGATCTTTTTTGATCCGTTTATTCTTTTTGTTCATTGGGTCAGGAAAATATAAATGGCTACTGAAAGATGGAGATAGGAAAGAAGTATTCAATGATTTCAAAGTAATATCTTGCAGAACGGTTACTGTTTTTTCATTTTTTCCAGAATTTTGAATTTTTTTTCGACTTACTGATTCATCTATGTTCAAGCTGTTACTTTCAGAATATTTGCTAACTTCTTTATTTTCTAAAATATCTAATGTATCTTCTCCACTCTCCATCACTTCAATCCTATCCAGATCTTCTTCACTCATGTTCTTTACAAATGCTTTACGAGTTCTAATCTTATTTGTATGATCTATGGTTTCTGGTAATTCAATTATTTTGTTGGTACTGTCTTTCCTTTCGTTACTTACATGTACAATAGCCGTAGTGATGATCATGTTAGATCTATCACATGACTCTGTATCTCCTAAAGTATTTTCTAAAATTTCCTTGAAATTTTCCTGAACACAGTATTCCATATAATCAACCATTTCCTGTGGTGATTTCTGTTCATCATCACTTTTTGTCTTCGATTCGTCGAAATCAAATATCAATACATCTTCTGCTGAAGTTTGTTGTGTCCCTGCTATGCCAACTTCTTCAGTATCAGACCTTTGGAGGGTTCCATCAGGCATTATGAATGCATCAACTGTGCTTTCTAGTGGAATTAGGTTATTTTCTTCTAAGATTGGGTCTGTTTCTTCTGGAAATGGGACAGTTTCTTCTGAGATTGAGATATATTTTTTTAATCATTTCAAGTTTCTCTAGAATGTCTTCTACATTTGTGAATCTACTTTCATTCAGCCTATGTTTGAAGTATTCTAGAACAGTTTGGGTTGTTTTAATCTGTTCTTGAAAAATGTTCCCAATATTGTAATTGGTGTTCTGTTGCACTTTTTCAATTGTATCTTGGATACACTTGCTGTAATCCACTGCATCTGGGCTGAACGGAAATAACCCACATTTTCTTAATCCATTTTTATCTGCTTGGGTGTAAAAGAAATCTGAAAGTACTATTTGCAGTAATGGACGAAAAGTGCTTTCAGTTAAAACACAGTTAACATTTCCATGTTTAAGCTGCCAAGCCCTAACAGTCTTCTTCCAATTACTTTTAGTAGCTTAAATACGCTAACATCGACAGGTTGCATGAAATGGGTGGTGTTTGGAGGCGAAGCATATAAAAGGATGCCATTATCATGGCAGTATTGGCTCTATTCCATAGACAGATGAGACTTATGCCCATCTACAAAAAGTAGAACTGGTTCCAAAATCTTATTTTCTTCTAAATATTCATTCAAACCGTTTGCTATATATTCAAAAAATATATCCGTCTTCATCTATCCACTCTCGGATCGCCCCAAAAACCATGTTGATGGCATACTATCCACAATGGCTTTATTTGGACGGACAAATGGTTGTACCATAGGAGGTAAAGTCGTTCCATCAGCTGAACAAATTAGAAGCACTGTTATGGTCTCTTTGTCATTTCCTTTTTTAAAATCATATACGTTTTCGTATCCTTTTATTGCTAGCACTTTCCCAGTTTCAGGGCACATTGCAAAACTGGTTTTATCACCATTGATTATTCGCGATGGGTCTCTCAAAACATCAAGCCAATAGCCATTTGTTTTCTTCTAAATAGCCCTCTAAGTCTGCGAACCATTTTCTGATGAACTCTTCGGTTATGATACTTCTGCCCTTTGTAAGCCCTTCTGCTTCTCTCAAACCCACTGCAGGGTGTCTCTTCAAGAATACTGCATACCACTTCTGGCCAGGTCTTTGATCCTTGAATGGAGTTCTTCTCTTTTTATTATTTTTTCCACAGTATTTAGAAGATCCTCTTTTTTTTTGGAAAATCCACATTTTGCCAATGTAATCAGCTAGTTTTCCAAAGCGTCTTCTTCTTTTTTCGTCAATACAGTACCTGGACCCATTTTACGAGGACCTTCTAAAACTCGTCCATGAATTCTATCCTGTAATGTTCCACGAGGTACGCCATATTGCCTGCTGACCTCTCGTATGATCAATGTTTCTTCTAGGATTGCTCTCAGAGCATTAACTAATGCTTCCTCGGGGTATTTGTGAATTTCATGAGATTTGTAGCGACTCATACTGCGATTTACCTGAATAAAACTAAGCATCAAACATCAATTCAACTAACGGCTGAGTATTGAATTTATTTTGCCAAAATTCAGCCGCCTAGTATTTGTATCAGTGTTGGGCAGCTGACTATTGGGTAAACCATTATTATGAAAGATATTAGTTCACAATATCGAATAGGAATGTTTACACTATGTTAAGAACGTTTTAAGCTCATAATTGTATGAGAAGCCGCCAGGAGTCCTGTACTCAGCCAGTATGGCTGACTATAGAATTAACTTGATAGGGAATATCCAATACTCAGCCTCCTGGAAATAAATACTTAGAGGGTATATTTTCAACTTAGAAAGTTCTCTAAATGACCCTTCATTGAACATATAATCAATAAAAAGTATCTGCTTTGAAAAGACAACAATAGATTGGAACATTTTCTATTTTCACATAGCATGCAACGAAGAGAAAGTTGATATTCTGCTTACCAAAATACAGCCACCTAGACACGATGTTAGACATGTACGCACAAGAGGAATATTTTTAGGTTAGAATCTGTGACCGTCGGACAGATATTGGCGGGAAGAGTGGCTGACTACATATCTTTGAAATCTAACATACCTAATAAAACAAATTTTTATTATCGGCCAATTTGTGTGAAAGTGGCTGACTACTGGTAGTGGCTGGAATAAGGCGCATTTACGGATAAATTCGCCAGTGGTCAGCCACTTGAAGAAATATAATTTTCCAGATACTTTTAAAAAATACCATTTCTCTTGGAAACAGTTCAGATCATATTTTTGTTCAATTACATTCGACAATATTTCGAATTGGGAAGGCAAATTTCTATCCCGACACTCGTGTATTTTTTAATTATAGTTGATATCGAAAATATACCAAATTCCCTATAGTCAGCCGTGAAAAATCTGCCTATAGGTATATTCAATAAGAAAAACAATGAGTAATGTTTATTCGAAATCAACTTGTTGACAAATTTATAATTTGTACAATAATTATTGTTATATAACCAAACTAAAAATACTGTCTGTAGGTTAATCGAGGAGGTGGTATATTCATTATTCCAAATTTTTTGGGATTTTCTCTCCTCGTTTCTATAAAATAAAAATATGAATATTATTTCAATATACGTATAGTAAGGACAAATCAGATGATTTGCCCCAAAATGTCACTGCGTTTAAAGAATTTTCCTATCAGAGAGCCTAAAAGAAAAATTCACTAGCTTGTCAGTGACAATTTGTATCGAAAAAATTTTTGGAGAAGGGGAATAAAGGTATATAGAAAAAATATCAAATTTTCACTTATCTTTGGACGTTTCGGGACCGGTTCTGCTCCCGTTTTCAACATAAGAAGAGATTATTCCAATAGCGAAGTCGTATAATGTCTTGAAGCTTTTCAGTTTTCAATGACAATTGGTGACGTTGGCAATCAAATGAGTTACAGGATGTTTTCATTAATTGATCTTGAATTTACCATTTTCATGTTCAGATTTTAGTAGTGAATACCATGTTCTGTCTATATCAACTGAACAAGAAGCAATGTTATTGTCTTCGTTCAGAAGAATGCAAGCAGATTCCTTGATTTGGAAAAGAAGATAACAACCAGAAGAGAAAAATCAAGGAATCTGCTTGCATTCTTCTGAACGGAGACAATAACATTGCTTCTTGTTCAGTTGATATAGACAGAACATGGTATTCACTACTAAAATCTGAACATGAAAATGGTAAATTCAAGATCAATTAATGAAAACATCCTGTAACTCATTTGATTGCCAACGTCACCAATTGTCATTGAAAACTGAAAAGCTTCAAGACATTATACGACTTCGCTATTGAAATGATCTCTTCTTATGTTGAAAACGGGAGCAGAACCGGTCCCGAAACGTCCAAAGATAAGTGAAAATTTGATATTTTTTCTATATACCTTTATTTCCCTTCTCCAAAAATTTTTTCAATACAAATTGTCACTGACAAGCTAGTGAATTTTTCTTTTAGGCTCTCTGATAGGAAAATTCTTTAAACGCAGTGACATTTTGGGGCAAATCATCTGATTTGTCCTTACTACACGTATATTGAAATAATATTCATATTTTTATTTTATAGAAACGAGGAGAGAAAATCCCAAAAAATTTGAAATAATGAATCAAACTAAAAATATTTTCAAAAATATATCACAACATAAAACCTCAAAGGTAAATGAACTTATCGATATTATTAAAATCACATTTGAAGGAATTAACGTTCGAGGTCCTCATTTCAATTTTACATAAAACTCAAAAATAGGCATTATTTTTCACAAGAATAAAAATAAATTCTGCGTAATCTACATCGAAATAGTTACATCCCTGAAACGAGGAGCATTTGAGATGGAACTAATTACGTGAGAAATTTGTACAAGTATTGCGAAATTGACGATTTAGGTATTATTGCCGGGTATTGCGGGGTATTGCGGAGTATCGCAGGGTATTGCGGAGTATTGCGGGGTACTGCGGAGTATTGAGGGGTACTGCGGAGTATTGCGGGGTACTGCGAGATATTGCGAAGACGTACAAGATTCTATGAAATACTGAAAATCATTAGGAGATGAGTACCCCAGGCAATACTACACTGAGACAATTTTTTCACCGTCACAGCAGATTTTTCTGCTGCTACAGCCAAAAACTCTTTCTACATAGGGGACAGCCAAAGTCTCTACTACTGCAGAAGAATGCATTTTACTGGCACCATCTTCCTGTGGCAGTAGAGCTACTTTATAAAAAAAATACCTTCCGTTGGTGCAAAGTAACATTCCTCTAGTAGAAGAGTCACTTTACTGCTGTAGGAAAGTCACTTTACTGTTGTAGGAGAGTCACTTTACTGTTGTAGGGAAGGCATATTACTGATGTAGGAAAGTCACTTTACTGTTTTAGAGAAGTCACTTCCTGGTTATAGTGAAGTAACTTTGCTGTCGTAGGAAAGTAACTGTACTGTCCCAAGAAAGATGTTCCAATTTATTATTTTGTTATAGAAAAGTGGATCACTAATACAGGAAAGATATTTGCTGTTGTAGTATATCGTCTCTTTTAGAACAACAAAGTTCTTGCCAAGTGCAGCATAGTGTTTTTATAGTCAGTGGAAGTCAATTTTCTTACAATAGCAAAAATATTTGCTGGAAATATCTTTGAAAATATGGTATCTTCAGCCCGCCCAACAAAACTAGGATAAGCAAACTTCATTCAAACTTGTGTATTTTCAATATTCGAATATCACTTTTTGAAAATTTGGGGTTTTGATTGAAGTTTGATTATGCTAGTTTTATTAGGTGAAAGCCCATATTTTTTCAAAGTTGAGCAAGTTCTGTTGGACGAGTGATGATTCCACTTTCAAAGAAATGTCTTGCAAATATTTTGCTAATGTAAGAGAATTAACTCCTGATAATGAAACCGTTGAAACTATTTCAGCCTAAGATCATTCATTCAGGAATTGAGGATTTTGATAAAGAACACATTATGAAAAATGTAATAAAATGCTTTATTCATACTTCATCA